CTTAAGCAAGCAGTACGTGGGGTTAAAGGTCAGGAGTTTGGGCGAGTAGGGTCGAGAAAACGGTTGGCAGAGCTTGAGCAGTGCAGCGCCCAGATTTAAGAAGAATGCATCCGAAGCGAACATTTGGAAGAATATCTCGGGCATCTGGTTTGCCCAGATTTTTGCCCGCCCCATGTTGGCCTGCAGGCAGCCACCCAGCCACGAGAGCAGCAGGTGGCGTGTTTCGCTAGACTGCTGAAGCAAGTTTTTTAGGATCTGATACAGTTTATCATGAAACTGCCCCATAAACTAGCATAGGGGAAGAAAAGAAATGAAAGGGAATAAGTGGCTGGCTTCATGTCATCAAGCTTGAAAACCATGCTTTTTTACATTTTGTGCCCACCTGGTGTATATTTGACTCTTGAACCTTCATTTCCTGTGGGCTGGAACGAGAAGGATTGAGGAAAAAGCCATGGTTCTCAACCACACCAGGGGTTTTCAACAGACAAGAAATATTCAGGATTGCTCCCAGAAGCGTTTTCTGATACTGAATCCCACTGTTAGGATCTTTGGGCTGAATATGCTCCATTAAAACCTAGGTTCAGAATATCATCATCCAAAATATGTTTGATCTACAGTGGGTACGGAAAGTATTCAGACCCCCTTAAATTTTTCACAAACTGCAATGACATTAGCATTAATGAGCATTGGATCCGAACCTTAGAAATATCCTTTTGCCGACTGAAGTACAGGAGAATTTCCAGGTAGGAATAGAGCAGCAGCTGACAAAGGTCTAAGTCTTTGACCCGGCCTTGGAAAACATCAAACACTGGCACCATAACCTCCCCGAAGGTCCGCACTTCTTGGTCAGCCAACAGACTAGCTATAACCTCATCCAAAAACTCCACAACTTCCTCAAGCTCTGCAGAGATCATAACACAAACAAAGTCAAACACATGGAATTGGTTCAGGACCTTCAAACGTATCATATGACCACAAATGTGACACTTACGGGCTCCTCTCACAGCCTCCAGCAACAGGTCCAGAAGCTGTTCATACACATTCTGACTGATGTAGATCTCTGGGGTCAGCAGAACAGTGCGGGCATTGGACACAGTCAAATTTTTGCAGTGCACTGCATACGATAACAGCTTCTCTGGAACTTTAGTGATCTGTGTTGTTTTGAAGAACATTAACACATTGCATTAAGCACAAACAATGCAATAAAGCAAATAAACAGTGCAACAAGCAGCCACATTTCATTCTTTTGGCACAACCGAACAGGCCGACAAAGTATAGAGTCTGCAGAAAATACCTCCTCTTTAGCTCTACAGTAGCAAGCGTAAAGGTACAGTATGGCACGTTTCTCTCCTGCATCACGATCTGCGGAGAGATTCACTACACTGCAGGAGGTCATGTAAATGAGATGGTTTCCCGGCTCCTGCAAAAGCAGCCTGCTGAATAAAGCCTGGAGGAGCAAATAAGGAATATTATTCTTATTCAAAGTTCACAATATACGTGTGCATATATGTGTGTATACAACTTATCTGATATTATGCAAAACTGGAAAAGAATGACACATTAACATGTTGTACCTGTTCTGTGGTGTCCATGTTAAGCCAGTCCTGGCCATCAAGATCAGCAGCCACTTCCTCAAGGTATACACAGCGTGGTGGGATGCCATTACTACCTCTTAGACTGGGGTCACCTGGAAAGATATTATTTTAATTCAACAATAAATGCATTCTTAGTGCATATTCTGAACACACATATTCACTACTGTTCAAACGTTTAGGGTTTTTCTATATTCTGATAAGAAGTTTCTTATGGTCATTAAGCCTGCATTTATTTGATCAAAAATACAGGAAAAACTGCGAAATTGTGAAATATTATTACAATTTAAAGTAACGGTTTCCATTTTAATATATTTTAAAATGTAATTTATTCCCGGGATGGCAAAGCTGAATTTTCAGCATCATTACTCCAGTCTTCAGTGTCACATGATCATTCAGAAATCATTCCAATATGCTGATTTGGTGCTCAAGAAAAATATTTTTATTTTATTATTATTGATGTTTGTTTGTATATATGTATGTGTGTGTGTGTATATGTATATATGTGTATATGTATATATATGTGTATATATGTGTGTGTATATATATATATATATATATATATATATATATACACACACCTTGCTACGTGTACTGTGTTAGGCTAACCGAGACTTGTCATTTGCACTTATATATTGTTGCTCTTTTGTTAGTTTTGACTGCTTTTATTGTCCTCATTTGTAAGTCGCTTTGGATAAAAGCGTCTGCTAAATGACTAAATAAATAAATAAATGTTGAAAACAGTTGTTTAAAGGGAAGGTTCACCCCAAAATTAAAATTCTGCCATCATTAACTCCCCCTTATGTTATTTCTTCTGTGGTACATAAATATACATATTTTCGATATTTTTGATTGTTCTTTGGTCTTTAAAAATGGCTGACATTCATTTAGTGATCAAATGTATTACACATTTTGGGAGACACAACAAATGAATAGAGAAAAAATTATGTATCAATATTCCTATTAAATATTAGATGTTATTATGAAAATCTTGCTAATTATTACTCCCATTATTGCACTTATTTGTTCATTCTATGTTGCCCCAAAAACACATTAATATGCAAATTAGATACAGTTTATAGATACATTGAATATAATGGGAAAACTCGTTTATGGCTATTTTACACACATTCTGCATAAAGAAAAATGGTTTTTAAAAATATCTTTCATAACATAGTTGAGAATCATCTTTATAAAATTTTTTTAATTGATTTCTGGTTAAAACAAAAATCCCACTGTTTTTGCCTTTTCATGACTTTTTATTTTTTTTTAAAACAGGACTTTTTAAAGTCCCGATGTCCTCTACAGAGGACATGGCATAACATATGAATAAAATATAATTTTTCAAAAATGTTATTTTTCAAATTTTTTCTTATGCTCTAAACAATGTAATGACATGACAAAATACTAAATTCACAAACCTGTTTTTTCCTGGTAGTCAGGAGGATAGTAGCCAAAAGCAAAACAGTTAGTCTTTTGTATTCCGCAGAAGAAAGAAAGTCATACAGATTTGGAGCAACATGAGGCTGAGTAAATTATGACAGATTTTTCATTTTGGGTGAACTTTCCCTTCATTATTTTTGTTGGAAACCGTGACACTTTTTTCAGGATTCTTTGATCAATAGAAACTTGTAATGGAATGGAAATCTTTTGTAACATTATAAATGTCCTTACTGCCGCTTTTGATCACTTTCATGCGTCCTTGCTGAATAATAGCATTTTCTACCTTACTGTCCTCTAACTTTTGAAAAGTAGTTTAGAATTTAAGGCCACAGACAGGGGGCTCAGATATCACATTTTCAAAACCTTCCTTTTAGCACAACTGATGCAAACTGTGATAAAGATTTGAATGGCAGACCAGTGGGATGGACAGTAGATCGATGTGGAGGATAAAGATAAAGACACAAATGAGAGAAACAAAATTTACGTAATGGGCCAAACTGCAATGGATGAGGTCATCTGCAGCACTGCCTGGAAAATGCATGTCATCGTGATAGGATCACCTAAACTGAGATCAGCGAGACATCTGTCATCTACAATCTGATATTCATTTCTTTTCAAACTATCCAGAAGTACACTTCAGCATACACATGAAATGGATTAATTATGGAAAAAATATCTCAAAAAAGTTCTCAGCTGGTGGGTTATCATACCCAAAAATGGGTAATGGACAAAAATGGGTTATCATACCCAAAAATAGGGTTATGGACAGCAGGGGAAACAATGCTAAATGCAACTAATAGCACAACTTAAAGGGTAAGTTTGCTGATTATCAACCAGCTTTGTACTTTTACAGTGTTTGGTAGTATAAGTAAATGAACAATGTTTAATTTTTCTGTGATACCTGCACCAAGATATCCCCATTTATTTCTCAGCAAAAGACTTCAGCTGTCTGTGAAAACTACAGACCGTACTTTAGCTTTTTTTTTTTTATCCCCGCCCACAGATAGTCTAATTAAGCCCAGTGCAGTATGGGTGTTGACATTTTCCTACATTTTTTTCTCTAATCATGTAGCACTGAAAAAAAAAATCATGTTTATTTTGCATGGACAGCCACCATCTTGCCAGCATTAATAACAAAAAAAAGATTTTTAAAAAGGAAGGAGAAAATGTTTTGCATCCAATCATATGAAACCAATATAAACTAAAATGAAAAGCTAGCTAAATTAGGCAGATGCAAAACTAAGTAGGATAAAATAAACAAAGTCATACTATGTTGTCACACTAAGTCGTATGCTGTTGTTAGCTCCACTGAACTCTTATTAGAAGTATAATTAATACAATATTTGTGTTTGTTGCATGTGTTAGTGACAGAAGAGTGACAGAATGACAGTAAAGACAATTATAATTTTACAATAGATTGTTATTTCAAATAAATATCGCTCTTTACCACGGTTTCCACAAATATATTAAGCAGCACAACTTTCAACATTGATAATAATAAGAAATATTTCTTGAGCATCAAATCAGTTTATTATAATGAATTATGAAGGATCATGTGATGTAAGTATTGGCTGCTGAAAATTCAGCTTTGCCATCACAGGAATAAAATACATTTTAAAATATATTCAAATAGAAGTTATTTGAATAGTTATTTCAAACTGTAATAATATTTTACAGTATTACTGTTTAACTGTATTCTGATCAAATAAGTGCAACGTTGATGAACATAAGAGACTTCTATCAAAATATTTAAAAACATCTTACTGACTCCAAACTTTTGAAAGCTAGTGTATATTTATGATCATTGATCATATAAGAAATTATATGTTTTGAGTTAAAACCATTCACAGTCAGTAAACAGACAGTTCTCATAACCAGTAGGTGTTAAACACTCACTGTTGTCCAGAGTGATGAGGAAGATCCTCTGAATCATGTGGTTGACGTTGAGCTGCTCACAGAGCTCCTGTCGTGAGCGGAAAGATTGGCTGATCTCTGCCACCGAGTCATCATTGTCATCGATGCTGTCAGACAGAGTTGTCTGACTCAGACTGGCTCTCTCCTGAATCTACAGCTGTAGGGAAAAACAATTACAAAGTGCCATTAAATTAATGCTATCCTGCAAGTAGAGCGCTGCTTATTACCAAGACCTTACATTGTTGCTCAGCTTGACGCCGTTGCTTTTGGCCGGATGCAAACTGCTTTGCGTCAGCGAGGGAACTGAAGAGAGCTGCGAAGGGGTTTTGTGAGATGTTCTGATTGTTATTGCCCTGGTCTGTCATTTCCCTGGAGCACGTCCTCCATCAACATGTGTTTTCACAACCTGTAGGTAAAAAAGTGGGAATTAGAGTTAGCATATAATCCAAGTCCCAAAACCAGCCGAGATCCATCTAGGTAAACCATAACGTCCATCTGGAAAAAAATAAATAAATACTGTGCATTTAAGTGCAAGATGACTCACTATAACGATTTATTTACTCTTCCGATGAGTCATTCATGAATATGAATTGATTAATTCACCTGGGAGTCATATTCAAGCAACAGGAAAGCACAACACAGATCAATAGTGACCTCACAATAACCAGCATGACTGCAAATTAGTGTCAAGAATGCTAACTTGCTACACATACGTTTCATATTAATCGCAGCAGTGAATCAGACTACAACAGACAGACACTAAGAGGTCTCAAAAGATGTGCAATGAATGTAAACCTAGATAAACATGAGCTTTATAGCTGTCAAAGCTTAAGCTAGCTGAGTTACTAGCAACACGCACAGTAACTGACAGCGGGCTGGTAATGTTCATACAACACAGCAACTCAAGGCAACATAAAGTAAATAATACATTAAATAGAAGAAGTACGTTGAAATATATCAACGTAGATGCATGCCATACCAGGTTTCGCGTTGAAATGTGGGAAATCCGATGTGGTTCAGTCCAACAGATCCAGAATGGACGCTCTACGTGACGTCATCAGCAGGGGACGAGACATTGTCGGCTGTTTCTTTTAATGTTTCTTTTTTTTTCTTCTTTTCTGCAGTTCAAAGTCTTGTCAGGTATCTAGGCTGTAAACAGTCAGGTGTAGCAGACGACAAAACCGTATCGTTGGAATGGCTCTGGAAGTTTTTCATAAAGATGAGACTTTGCAAATGCGCAGGAAGCTGATTGGGTAAGTTGGATCAAATATTACACGTCGCGCTTTTATAAGGCCTGGTGTTTTTGATTTGATAAATGCACGCTATTAAAGCGTTGTTCAGACTAAATACTCTTTCTGTTTTCAGGCAGTCCTGCAGACTCTTTTTTTCCCGTGATCCCGTGAAAATAGTGAGAGCACGGGGTCAATATTTATATGATGAGAATGGCATGCAGTACTTAGATTGCATTAGTAATGTTCAACATGGTAAGGACATTTTGACATGCATGCTGCAGTATATAGCAGGGGTGTGGACTCGAGTCACATGACTCGAGACTTGACTCGGACTCGAGTCCCAAATTTGATGACTTGCGACCTGTTTTTATACAGTCTATGCTTGCGACTCGACTCGACATAATTAAAGAAGACTTGAGACTCGACTTAGACTTTGACAGCAAGGACTCGAGACTTGACTTGGACTTGAGCCCTGTGACTCGGAAAGACTTTATGATCAGATCAAAGTCGTTATAGACGCGTCCCTGCAGTGTGCTTGCACTTGCTGGCAATAAGCCAGAGACTGCGTTCAGGGAGCGCTGGATATATAGGCTAGTATAAATTAATGGAGTAATAACACAACTTACGATAAAAGAACCGAGATAAGAAAAAAAAATTACATGATTCGTCTAGTAGCGAGCTCCGCTCGTGAAAAGCGCTGCCCTGTCCGTTTGATCGCCGCCCAGCAGACACACCCCAGACAGCAACATAGTGTTGGCCCAGATCCGGCCCACATCTGGCCCATGTGAAATCCATGCGGGCCAGATGTGG